TAACTTACTGAACCGACTGCTAACGGGTAAAATCGTGCCCAGAAAGGCTAAATTGAGGTTATATAAAATTTGTAAAAGACGTATTGTCATATTTGGCAGCAAAATATGGACATATAATAAAGCAGAACAAAACAAAACAGCTATTTAGGAGACATAAATCTTGCTGCAAGATATTCGGTGGGAAGCGGGAGTACGAAGGATGGGTACAAAGAACGAACAAAGAATTGCAATCAATAATCCAAAAAAGAGTACTAATAAGCAATATTGGTGGAAAAAGAGACGTGTTAGAGCTTACGGCGATTCGCGCCTTTGTTCTCATTTTTTCGCCGTGGGACATAATCGCCCTCTTTATGGCCTATGCACATAAATATTTTGGTAAACATCAAATTTCATCACGTTGAAGTTGTCCTCCCCAAACTTTTCAGTTAGTTAAGCCTCATATAGACAGCTTGTCAGAGTGTCAGTCTCACTAAATGCGCCGGATTTGATTTTCAAGAAAATCACAATTTCTTTTCGCGGTAAATTGCCACCACGAAACCTCTGGCACAGAGTCAGTCTTTTCTTAAAATTCTGGATAACGTTTTCGTACAACTGTGGCTCTATTTCGTCGACAACGCGCCGTATCTCTTCTTCAAGGTGTTCAACTGTTTATGGCTTGTTCGCATACACCTTTTTCTTCACATAGCCCCAGAGGAGGAAGTCCATTGGCGTTAGATCGCACGAACTTGGTGGCCAATTTTGGTCGCCAAAATAAATATATTATTTGAATCAGTATATTAACTGAAGTGATGCTTCATCCGAGAGAACTTTTGTTTATCAACCTACTCGATGGTCTTCCAGTTATATTATTAGAACTGATATTGTTGTTCTTACAGCGAAGCTTCCGCGAGCCTGTCGAGGAGCAGCACGGCTGCATTTTCAATTAATTATCATTTAAAAACAACATTTCTTTTATAGATCTTTATTTGAGCCATTATTAAACGGGACAATATTTTCACCTTCCGATAAATCACTTTTCTCTATAGGATAATCATCCCTCAAATAGTATCAAGACCTGCCACTCCGAAATAACTCAAGTTGGAATTATGTCCACTTTTATCTGACTATTACCATTTTTTGTCATAAAAAAAGATCATTTGAACATAGGCCGAGGTACTTCGTCTTCAATTTTTCTTTAAATTCCCTCGATTCGTAAAACGCCTAATAACCCTTCAGACTATTTTGTTAAAAGATGCTGCGGTATAAATGTATAACCGAAAATTTAGATACAATCGAGTAAAAAAAACATTTCAAATCTGGCGATCTAGAATGGTCGTCACAATTTGTGGTTTTATTAGCTGTCTTCCGTCATTTTATGTAATTTTTCGTCGGTACATTTCATCCAATTTTAACAATATTGGCCAGGGTTATTAAATTTCTTGGAACAAAAATGTTTCTGAAAAGTTTTACGCCCTATGTTTTGAAAACGGAGCATTTCCGTTCATATGTTTATATGTTTTCTGATCGACCATGAAATCACACCTTGAAGTCTGGCCTGGTACTTTATCAACGCCCTGTATATGAAGTATTGGTATTCGTACTACTTTAACTGGATATAAGAATGCGAAATGCTTCTTTACGTTTGAGTATTCAGATAAATGTAATTATTCAGTATGCGCATTGGATAAAAATAGGAACAGATGTTTTGCTTAACTGAAATGGAATGTGCCAACAGATACATTGATATGCTGCATTGCTTTCATCATCATTACTGTGAAAATACCATGTCAAATCGGTAACGTCGCGTTTACTAGACGAAATAAACTTTCACTTGTCTGAGAGAGGAAACGCATTTTCTTCATTGTTTCGGCGCAACGCCCTTTTCCCGATAGGTTTAACCATTTTTTTAAATATGACGAGTGAAGTCGATTATATGTGAGGCTTTCCTGTTTGAATGAATAGCTCTTACATATTAGATAAAGCGCGATAAAGTTTCGATTTGTCTTAGAAAAAACACGAAGGTCAATATTCTGTCCCTAGCACCTTGACTGCCATATGTATGTCTGAATATACATAATGGGTGAGCTCACACCTATATATAAATATACACAGTCAGTGAAGAACATCGAGCCGCGAGTATTCACAGAGACACGTTGCACGTGTATTCTTAATTGGATATAGCTTAGCGTGGCCTGGGCCGAATTAAAAATAATCTAAGCTTGAGAAAAAAAACTCCGTTACTTTTCTATTAACAGTTTAATAATAATAGATTTTTTCATAGCTTAAATGCTAATAAACTGTCAGTTTTGATATAAAAGTGTTTTTTTAACTAATAATTCGATGAATATGAAATAAAGACAAGTTTCTTAATCGTTCGAAGCGAACATTTTTAAAAAAGCAGACAGATATTACATGACATATTTATATTATTGACCTAAAGTTAAATGCAACACCAACAACACAAAAACGTTCTACAAAATAGGATGATAAAACATATTTTCAAATAAATAAAAATATCAAAAAAACATTCTAACCAAAGAACTTTTAGTTCACAGACTTGGCATTTAGTTGTAACTTGTTTTGTTTTACTTATTGCATACAGTCGTCCCTGATTATCTTTATTTCGTTGGTAGCAAACTACTCATCTACTTTTTTCCTGCTTCAATAAATTGTTAGGTTCTGCAGGTGTGTGATGAGGATCAAAATTTTGTTTACCTTTTGAAATTAATTTCAAGCATAATTTTTCTTTGAAGTCGGTTACACTTATTCTTTTTTGTGCATTTTTATTATTATTATTATTATATAAATAATGAGCGTTTACTATGCTCGTTCCAGTAAGTAACTCACCTTCCCCTCACCTCACCTCAACCTTCCTGTACCATTCGATACTCCGTCTGAGGTAGAATAGGATGACAACTGGTCAGATACATCATTTTCCTGCATTGTAATTTTTCAGCTAATTCTATGCTGGTGTACCAGTCAGGAATAAATGAACCGCACAACGCGACATTTAGAGCAGAACTAATATATATTACCACATCAACACTATTGTTATGGACAAGAAATGACAAGTCTGAAGAGAGAGACCTATACAAGCGGCGGACAACAAAAAATGTTCTTCCAGGCCACGTGTATATTTTTTGTACACCAGTCAAATTACAAAAAATACAGGAAATTATATAGATGATGTATCTAAGGTGTGTTGACAAACCATTTCAAATACATTTTCATAAAAAAACTAGTGTGGCGCACGGGACCCATCTGGTGATTTTGGTGTGGCAGTCAAAGTGCTAGAGATACTATCAAAGCTTTTTTCAGTACCGTTTTTCTATAAGTAAACTACATTTTTGCATATAAAGATAGGGTGAAACCTCGCATTCGTGGAAGAAATTTTCCAATTTGATTTTTTTTTTGTTATAGTAATCATGTTTATTGGATACAACTCAACAATTACATATATGTATATATTTTTCGTTTTCATTTTAGTTAGTTCATTTTTAGTAGAAAACAAGTGTAGGGCTTGAGGAATCTTCAATCCCTTTTTGATTTTTGAATTATGACCTACTATACCTACTGCACATTGGACATGTACATACCTGCAGGCTAGCAAATATAAGGTATATTCTTTAATTCACGGGTTGAGCTACCGGTGCAACCGGTTAGCCGAGTTTGCGTCCTTTAATTTACGCTGGAACGACGGGTTGTACATCAAACTCGTCTCTAATTTGATGGTGGATATGCCACCGGTGCCAACAGGATCCAACGACGTTCGGGCTCTGTTGATCCACGATATTCTAACCTCTACATTTTATCAGTTTTTGACAACTACAGTTTTGTGTGAAAAAATGGAAGAAGAAAAGATTGAAGTTAGCAGCATAGGAGTCGCGTGAAATTTAATGTTTTTTTTTCAACACAATTTGAAATAAACAGAGCATCTGAAAGCAAGTCAATTTGTTTTTAATTATGTCCGAAAATGTCGATTTTCTGATTTTGTTCTGTTTTTATCCCTGTATGGATACAGGAATGCGCTCTCAGAAAATCGATATCGATGGTTCTTATAGGGGAGCATCGACGATCTCAAATCAATGCCTCGTATTGATTTGAGATTGTCGATATCTGAAAATTTCTTGGTTTTCTGATTTATAGTTCTTATATTGATTCACGGACCGCAAATTCTCTCCGCTGGATAACTTCTCATCAGAATCATCACTCGAATCGCTTAACAAACGTTCCACGACAATACCAACTGATGCGTACATTTCCATAATGATTTTAAATGATACGGTGTTCAAATTAACAAGTATCCATTTACGATAAAACAAAGGTTAGGTTTTCTCATATGACAGCAACCTGAAGGCTAGAAATGCGTCTTTTTATTAACGACCATTGAACGGAACCGGTTGCTGACGTCATCACATCAGCTGTCAACCATGAGTTCACCGGATCCATCAGTGATGGAATCAACCGGTGAATTAAAGAATATACCTATATTTATGTATGATGTCCAGATATCATGTATATATATATATATATATATATATATATATATATATATGTATATGTAAGTTAACATCGAAATTATATCCAGTTAAAAAATCAATAAACTGATGAGGCAGAGCTTGTGTCCTAATAATTTCCTATGGATTTTTAGGGTCAAAATTGTCAAAAATGTTTATTACACATTAAAATGAATACATGAAAATGAACTCTGTTGGCACTTTATCCTGCACTTGTTATAATTTTAATTTCATACTGTAAAATTTGTCCTATAAAAACATTTTTTTCTGCATTTCTGTGATAACATAAACACTCATTATCCTTTTTAGATATAACTACCTACTCTGCTTTTGCTGTCTCATTAAGTGAACTGCTTGATTATTTAGATGTAGACCTTTTAGCATAATTGTAGGATTATGGAACACATTGAAGGTTTTTCAAATAATGAACCATTTGTTTTTATTTCAATTTTTTTTCTTAGACGGATACCTCAAAATAATTTATATTCACTGATATCTACTAACCAGTTATGTCATATCTTCACGACACTGTACCTTGAGATTCATTAATTGTTTAAATAAAACACAAAGCAGGCAGCACTTCCAGCCTTTAAAGCCAAATTGTATTTGTCCCGTCCATCCCACATGCACTGAATTACTTGTCACTCAGCATAACACAAGACAACACAAAAACCCTTGCTCTCCAACGAAAGTCCGATTCACGAGCGCCCTTTCCGATCGTTTGACACGTCACACAAGCCGTCAGATAGTAACAAGAAGACGGGCGAAAAACTATGGCGACCTAATAGCTGGGTGACCGGGGCAAGTTTACATACACCATACACTGGCATTGCGCTCAGCTCAACGACACAGCTGTTTCTTTCTGTGTTCGTGACGACAACCGAATTGCGACGTTGCCGATGTGACGGTTGTGGTTGTCTTGGTTATTTCTTTGGTAGCTAAAGGTACAACAAGTGACCTAAGACATTAACTTTAGGTATTCCGAGAGATCTATAGATATAAGTTTTATATAAATCCTGCAATCACCTGTCTTGCTTAATTTCGATTGAAATGTTACAATAGGCATACATTTTGACTAACCAAGATTTATTGACGCCAGAATCGCAAAGAATATAACGCATTTTGTAAAATAAATTCATGTTTGAAAACGCTGTGGTGTGGTGCCTTATAAAAACAAAAGTTATACTCCAAGGGTAGTTTAAATATCTTGCTTTATAAATATATAATTTGGGTATTCAGTATTACACTTGAAACAGCGTACTTTATTGACTTTCACGGACACCTAGTGAAGTTATTTTTTCGTTACAGATATGGAGCCAAATCTGTAAAAGCTCTGTTTTTCCATTAGAACAGTCGGATACGTTCGCTATCAGAATTAGTCATAGCTGTCTTTCTCCTCTTGGCAATAATTGGAAATGTACTTTGAAAAGGTATCTCATTTCATTTTGGATATTTTTTCTTTGACTATCTTCAGGAAGAATACGTTAATCAGTGCTTATAGTGAAAATGGTTGGGATATTGTGGTTGTTCAAAAACGCACTTTAGAAATTATAGAATCATCTATCAGCATATTATTAAAAAATCAACTTTCAGTATAGATACCTACGCCACAGGTGTTTTTAGATGGAAATGTTTTTTTTAACACATTCACCGCCAGGGAGGACACCGGTGTCCGCCAGGTTCAAAAATCAATATGTCCCCGGAAATCCTAAATCTCATAAATGTCTTGATATTAAAGTATTATTTTTGGCCTCTAGAACGGTCTTCTGACAGTGGTTTTCTAAAGAAGTGTTTTATTAAAATTTTTTGGAATGTGTCCGCCACGGTGTCCGCTGTGGCGTGTAAAAAAGTTTTTGAAGCATCTGTACTCAAGGCGCCAGAGCGGACACATTTCTTTCCATAAAAATATAGACTACACTCAGGGTTACTAAAACTTTATTATTTTGTTGAAACAAACATTTTTAACATTTTTTTTCGTACAAAAGATGTTCAAAAAATTCTTCCTTATAGAGTGTTATATGAATACATTACATAACAAACATTTCAACATATTTTTATGCCTACAAAAAAATGGCAGAAAGTTCCTATTTATTATGGTCTTTATTAAAACATTCCAAACAGTATCGAGGTTGATCTGGACAAGTTTTACAAAAAGTGGTAACTTTTTTTACTTTGTTTTTCGGTATTTCATTTTTTAATTTCTTCTTATAGCAACCCCTACAGTACCTTCTTCCGACTCTTGAGTTTCCTGGCTGTTTCTCAAATGCATGTGTTTTTTTTGAACATCGGGATCAGTCAATGGTCTATCTAGGAGCTTATTAATTATCGCTTCACGAAAAGCTAACAAACTTATTTTATTTCCTGTGATTTCCTCATACAGCAAATGAGAATTGACAATCGCAGTGCCCAGTATAATTTCAATGGCAATTTTGTGTGGTGTATCTGAAGTCACTTGAAATAGCATAAATACCTTTGGTCGGCGCGTCCTTTGTAATTTCATGACGTATCATAGGCGTGCGGCATTTATTTAGAACGATAATAATAATGTTTTTATATCACAATACATGGATTTTACTATCTTCTTATTTTTTTGATTTGGGATAAAAAATACTTATATTGGGAGTTTAATTTATGTTGACTGAAAGTTAAGAAATGGAAAAATTACAGAATTCCAACGTTTGACATAGGCAAATATTTACATAGCAGGTAGGTATATAAAAAGGTATATAAAGACTTACATTATAGGTATTTATATATCATCCTCGCCTTCGGAGCTGTCGCTAGAGTCATCTTGTAGAGGAATTACAACGGGATTTACAGGAGGCAAAACACAATATTCATTTTCTTTTTCAATAATATGCCTAGAACACTGCTTCCATAGGTCTGTGGCAGCAATATGAGATACTGCATCTCTTATTGTGGCCAATAGCGATTCACTTAATTGAGGGGTCTGATTATGTTTTCTTACTTTTTTTTTAAAGCAGCCCAGACCAACTCAATCGGGTTAAAAATGCAGTAATAGGGAGGTAGACGTAATACTTCATGGCCATTTTGCTGAAGCAGATTGTCAACAACATACTCTTTTTCAAATTTTTGTCTTTTAATAAGATCCAATAATATGGCTTTGGTTGATTTTTGTGGTATTTCCATTCCCTTATCCTTCATAAAATCAATAATGTCTTGTTTTTTTGTGCCTGTATTCGGAATTTTGTTTTTCTGTCGGGAATGGTATGGCGCATTGTCCATAATAATAACTGAACTGTATTTGGGGAAATGTTTGGTATTAACTGCTGCTCTATCCACTTTTCAAATAAGTCGGAGGTCATGTCCTCATGATAGTCGGCACATGATTCTTTGATATTTTTGGCAGATAACAGCAAGGCATTAGGTATAAATCCATTTTCACTGCCAGCATGGAGAATAATGATTCGTTTTCCACGGTTGCATGGTGCATTTAAAATGCACTTGTTGCTGTCGTCAACCCAGCCGTACTACACAACATCATGGGTATCATACCACGTTTCATCCAGGTAAATCAGATTTGTTTTCTGCTCTCTATAGATTTTAACTTTGTGCAAAAATTCTTGGCGCAATTCAACGATTCGAGACGACTCCATAATCACCATTCTTTTATCTAATTTTTTGTATTGAAAACCACACAGTTTTACAATACAGTGCAGTGAGTCTAAGCATTTGTAATTATAAAAATCTTCAGGATAATCTTTTAATTTATCCCGTATCATTTCCAACGTGGGCACCAAATTTTCTTTATAAAATCCGTATATTATACGACGAATATCTTCCTGAAAACCCACGTCTATTCTTTTTAATTTTTGCCCTATGCGCTTTCTGTGGAAGGAATGGTTGACTACATCTCCCCTTTTTATAACCCGATAAATGGTAGACCGACTGATTTTTGTCAGGATACAAATTCTGTTTAAAATTTGATTTTGCGAGGAATCTGGATTTTCGTTTTTCAGACAATCATACATATTTAGGATTACTCTTTGGGTCTGTTCCTCTAAATCTTTATGAAAGAATTCTGCCTGCACAGGTTCATCAACCATCTCCTCGTGGCTTGGAGCATTTTCCCAAGGTCTCCAAAGAGCCATATTTAGGACACACAAGAACAATCAACACAACAATTAAATCAACAAGTAAACTGAGTATTCAAAAGTCAAAAACACACAAACTAATAAAATCTATGAAAAAACACGGACAGACTAAAGAAAACACGTTTATTCACCGCTACACGGCACTGGCTAAACTGTTTCAATTTTCAGTAGCCACCTGCACTTTTTCGGAGCTCTGAAATACACGCTTTCTCATTGGCTATGTCCACGCATAGGCGTGCTTTACTCCACGTGGACCGGTGAAACTTCCTTTGATCTTATCCTTTGATATTTGCTGCGAAATTTGGCGAATTTTGCAGCAACAGAGCGTGTTAAATATAGATATATAAAACGCACCCGGTATTTCATAGTGTTTCAAGTGACTTCAGATAAAGTATACTATGGTATTCCGCGCTGCTGATTCATCATCCGCTATCGGTCGACTCTGCCTAGCAGCTCTCGGCAGGCGTATTTATTTTGGGGTCGACGAATTCCAGAAGGCTTCCAGGCAGAACTCGAACCTTCATCCAAGGTTACTAGTTGGCGTTCGATGTTTCTCGAAGTGTGACGAACGTTTGCGACGTGCTTAATTCTGGTTGCTTAAGCGTCGATGTTACGAGCATGTCTCCAGTTACGAGGGCGCTACAATATTTTTAAGGTGCATAGGGGAATCGAGCAAACAGGCGAACACCTGGGAATGTCAATTTCCCTTTTCACATCTAAACCATGAATTGACCACCATGAAAAATACATACCTGAACCAATAACAGCTTTCTTCAATAATTGGTAATCCATCAAAATGTATTTTTTCAACAAAAAAACTGACATTGTAAGTTAGGTATTGTGTGTAATTCCATGCTTACGTTACAGTCAAAACTCATAACGGGTCAGAACCACTTTTGAGTATAAAAAGTGGTTTTGCCTGACTTAAGGTTCGGACCCGTTCAGACTATCGGTCAAAACTCATATTAAGATAGTTACTGAAAATGATCAGAACAATCATCAAAAAGTTTAATCCAACTATTTTTAAGGTGTAAAGCTCATCTTTTGTCCATATAAAAATTGGTCCAACGAGATCTGTGAACCATAAACACGCAGAAATATTAGCTCAATTATTTTCAGTAGGTAGAAACCATTTTCATTTTAGTCTATGTAGCTGTACGTGTCAACCAAATGAGCTGACATTTTGTATACATCTATGTTTATCGTGATGATACATAATAAAGTATATGTCGCAATTTAGAATCAATATGGCGTATGCTACAAAATGTTGATATATCGGTCCTACAGTAACCCATTGGGGTATCCATGGATACCAAATGGAAGGGCTTGGTAAGACACACATGATAAGCAACATGACATCATTCGGCGGCCGTTTCAAAATGGCGATTCACATATGCCTTTGTCACATTTCAAATCTGGCGATCTAGAATGGTCGTCACAATTTGTGGTTTTATTAGCTGTCTTCCGTCATTTTATGTAATTTTTCGTCGGTACATTTCATCCAATTTTAACAATATTGGCCAGGGTTATTAAATTTCTTGGAACAAAAATGTTTCTGAAAAGTTTTACGCCCTATGTTTTGAAAACGGAGCATTTCCGTTCATATGTTTATATGTTTTCTGATCGACCATGAAATCACACCTTGAAGTCTGGCCTGGTACTTTATCAACGCCCTGTATATGAAGTATTGGTATTCGTACTACTTTAACTGGATATAAGAATGCGAAATGCTTCTTTACGTTTAAGTATTCAGATAAATGTAATTATTCAGTATGCGCATTGGATAA